GATCTTACTATTTCAGCCTAGTTTCTTCCAGTACCAGGCACAGAGAACATTTGGTAAATGTTTGCTGAACAAATAAATATTTGCCGCCCTATATTTAGTCTTAAATGCAGGGTTTTCTCTATTGTTTTGTTTTGGTCTCTGCTGTTCACAGTGCATTACTAAATTTATAGTGAGAAAGACAAATCTCGATCGCTTAAAAGGCTGGCTGAAGTGATTGTATCTAACACTATAGTCATTTGGCTCTGTGAGCTGTTTTTTATTAGTCATTTAAAAAGACTGTCACTGGGTAGTGATAGAGACAAGAGATCATCATGTAAATCACAGTGCTATCAACCCATCTATGGTTTTGGTCTGCAATTTAATGATGAGAAAAATAGATCCAGCAAGTAAATATTTAACTTAACATTTCCGTACTTGACCTGAATGTAGAGAGTAGAATGGAAATTGTGAATGTTAAGATGAAGTTTAAATAGCTTATCCCTGAATTTTACTGGTAGAAATGAATGTTGTGTTTTCATAAAGTAATAGTAGCACTTTTTTCCCTCATAGATATTATCTCATGTTGTAAGTAGAGGATTAATAAGTGAGTATAGTTCAGGAGGAGGAAATGCTTACTTTGAATAAGAGTACTTGCTTTGCCCAGATGGTTCCAAATTCACATTTTCTGTGCTGTTTCGGTTCATTTAGGTTAAAAAGAGCATGGCCGTACTCAGACTAGCAAGAGCATAGGGGAACTTTCCGTACGAGTTCACAGGAGAGAGAAGGAAAACCGAGAGCTCATAGGGATCCCAGCGCAGGAGTTTCACTGGAATCTGGCCCCAGCGGGACCAGAGGCTGGTTAAGGCTGACTCTCCCATCTGGGCGCCTTTCACAGCCTGTGTGTTCTCTCTGATGTCCTGTTCTATTTCTGGCTCGTTTTCTCCTCTCTGCTAGTCCCCTTCCTTTCCTATCACAGTCTCTGCTTCCTTCTGGCGTTCACACACACGTGACTTCGACTGGCTGCTTTTCCCACGCCACATGGCACCTTCTCAGCTTCTGCCTCTGTGTTAACCGGCTCCTCACCTCTGAGAAACTAAAAAGCCTCTTGATGCGGGTGAAAGAGGAGAGGGAAAAGGCTGACTTAAAACTCAGCATTCAAAAAATGAGGATCATGGCATCTGGTCCCATCACTTCATGGCAAATAGAAGGGGGAAAAGTGGAAACAGTGACAGATTTTATTTTCTTGGGCTCCAAAATCACTGTGGATGGTGACTGCAGCCATGAAATTAAAGACGCATGCTCCTTGGAAGAAAAGCTATGACAAACCTCGACAGAGTATTAAAAAGCAGAGACACTGCTTTGCTGACAAAGGTCCATATAGTCAGAGCAGTGCTTTCTCCAGTAGTCATGTATGGATGTGAGAGTTGGACCATAAAGAAAGCTGAACGCCGAAGAATTGATGCTATTAAATTGTTGTGCTGGAGAAGATGCTTTTAAGAGTTCCTTGAACTGCAGGGAGATAAAACCAGTCAATCCTATAGAAAATCAACCCTGAATATTCATTATAAGGACTGATGCTGAAACTCCAACACTTTAGCCACCTGATGCGAAGAACCAACTCATTGGAAAAGACCTTGATGCTGGGAAAGATTGAGGGCAAGAGAAGAAGGGGACAACAGAGGATGAGATGGTTGGATGGCATCCTCAACTCAGATGGACATGAGTTTGAGCACATTCCAGGAAATAGTGAAAGACAGGGAAGGCTGGCACATTGCAGTCCATGGGGTCATAGAGTCAGACACAACTTAGCAACTCAGCAACACTGCCACCTCTGATGACTCTGTCATGCTCCTGGGAGAAGGATCCTGGACTCCGTAGCTCCACTTGTGCCAGTCCAGGTTGCTGAACTCATCAGTTATTCGCCTTTAGGTGCCTTGCCCTTGCCCAATCAGCTGTAGCCCTGGAGGCTCAAACATGGCTGCCTAGAGAAGATGCTGCAAACCCGAATAATGATAGGATCCAGGCAGGTTAGTTATGTAAGTGAACAAATGAGGCTGGATATGGAAGGGCAGATACACGTTTGCATATTAGGCATGCTGCTGCTGCTGCTAGGTCTGACTCTCTGCGACCCCATAGAAGGCAGCCCATCAGGTTCCACCATCCCTGGGATTCTCCAGGCAAGAACACTGGAGTCGGATGCCATTTCCTTCTCCACATATTAGGCATAGGACAGAGTTAGTCAATTCAGTTGCTCAGTCATGTCCAACTCTTTGTGACCCCATGGACTACAGCACAGCAGGCTTCCCTGTCCATCACCGACTCCTGGAGCTTGCTCAGACTCATGTCCATTGAGTCTGTGATGCCATCCAGCAGAGTTGGGTGTTGTCTAAAGGCATAGACTCTTGAGGGAGAGGGCTTAGACTTGAATCCCAATCTCACTATCTATCATCTGCATGACTTAGAACAAATGACTCAATCTCTGTATGCCTCAGTTTCCTCTCTGCAGGGAGTAAGGATTAAATGAGTTAGTAGAGTGCTTAAAATGGCCCCTGACAGAGTAAACAGTATGTTAGCTGTGTTTTTAGAGGACATTTTGATTGGCATCAGCATCCTTGTCATTTATTTTTACAATGAAATGAACTTTCTTCAGTTTTTCCTAAAACATGAAGCTGTCTTGGTTTCATTAGTTCTTTACTTTCTCCCCTTTTTGCAGAGCCTCAAGCACAGAGAGATGTCTCCTCTAGTGTGAGGATATCAACAGAGCATGAAAAATGATGAGCAGTGCTTGCCCTTATTGCCATGCTGACATTAGGGCGTGGTAGGGAACTTGCTGAATTGATGCTTAGGTCCTGTCTAAAGGGTGGAGGCTCCCCCAATGGGAGATAGATTGCTATAATGTCAGAAGGAAGCCCAGAGTTGTCAGATGATTAGTCAGTCAGTCCCTCAGTCCAGTCATCCACCCAGACATCTACCTATCTTTAAAATAAGCTCAAATTAGGTTTCAAACCTGTGCTACTCAGCAAAACACATGTGCAGACTGGTTGCACACAGCCCTGGCACTAGAGAGTTTGGCTGTGGACTGTTCCTTTAAGAAGATGGTGTGGCCAGAGGCTGGAAGCAGAGCTTTTTATATAGCGAATTAGGAAAGTGAACTTACTGGTGAAGGATGACATCATGAAGCCCCCCCCAAGGACAGCAGCATGACCCAGGAACAATATTCTGACCCTTGGGTTTCCAAGGAGAAGTATCTGTCTTTGATTTTATTTTCTTAGAACAGATGAAAAGATAATTTTAGCTCAGATATGTAGGTCCAGTTCAGTTCAGTTCAGTAGCTTAGTCGTGTCCGACTCTTTGTGACCCCATGAACTGCAGCACACCAGGCCTCCCTGTCCATCACCAGCTTCCAGAGTTTATCCAAACTCATGTCCATTGAGTTGGTGATGCCATCCAACCATCTCATCCTCTGTCGTCCCCTTCTCCTCCTGCCCTCAATCTTTCCCAGTATCAGGGTCTTTCTCAGTGAGTCAGCTCTTCGCATGAGGTGGCCAAAGTATTGGAGTTTCAGCTTTAGCATCAGTCCTTCCAGTGAACACCCAGGACTGATCTCCTTTAGGATGGACTGGTTGGATCTCCTTGTAGTCCAAGGGACTCTCAAGAGTCTTCTCCAACACCATAGTTCAAAAGCATCAATTCTTCGGCGCTCAGCTTTCTTCACAGTCCAACTCTCATTCGTATCCATACATGACCACTGGAAACCATACTGTCATAACTGCCTTTCCTAGAAGTGGCCCTTTCCTGTCAAAGACCGCACCTCCTCCTCGTGCGCCGATTCTTATCGTTGCTTAGTCACTCAGTTGTGTCTGACTCTGAGACCCCATGGACTGAAGCACTCCAATCTCCTCTGTCCGTGAGATTTCCCGGGCAGGAGTACTGGAGCGAGTTGCCAGGCCCTTGTCCAGGGGATGTCCCTGCCCCAGGGATTGAACCTGCATCTCCTATGTTGGCCGGCGGCTTCTTCACCAGCGAACCACCTGGGAAGCCCTGTGCTCTAACTGATTCCCACTCCCGCTGATGTGTTCAGACCTGAGCTCTTCCCCCTCCACCCCCATCCTGCTACTCTCTGCAGCCATCTTCACTTCTATTGGGTAGACTTTTTAGTACTGAAAACACCAAGCACTAGCCGTCAGACTGTTGTCTCTCACAGTTCTCCTCTCTCCACACGCACACACTCACACCCACACACATCAATGCACATCAATATGCCTTGTTTCCACAGGAGCCAGAGCAGTCATTTGACAGTATGCGTTAGCTCATCACTCTCCTCCAGATGGAAAACCTTCTCTCCTAACTTACAGTTTTTCAGACTTGGGTCCTAGTTTGGGTGCGGCTCCTGCATCTGGCCCCAGCTGTGTCTCCCTGCGCCCGCCTCTTCCAAGGTGGCACTGATGTGCTCCTTCATGTCTGTGCACAACGGACTTGTTCCCACCCTGCTGTCTGTGCTCCGTCTGTTCCCCTCCCCGAAATGCCTGCTTCCCTCACCGTCACTTTTGCAGGAAGGCCTCTCCCCTCCTTCCATCTGAGGCTGGTCAGAGCAGGAACCTTGTCTGTCTGGTGCTCATCACCAAGTCCTAGCTGCTGAGCATATAAATGGCTGAACTATGGGCAGTGAGGGAGGAGATGAGAAAAGCATTTTTTAAAAATATATTCACTAAAGTCCACTTATTTAAGAGGTGGGAGGGAAAAGAGCAAATTTGTGAATAATGAGATTTCCTGATTCACTAACACTGTTGACTTACCCAACGTGCAAACGATCTAAAATGTGAGAGGGAGTTTGCTCAGACCTGGTTCTCACACATTAGTACCTAAACATTCCATTTCGAGTATTCTCATCAAAGGTAAGAATGGAAAGTTGCAGCCCAGATTGCCCCGGTTTTTACATGGTGATCCCCTCTTTAGAGCTGTTGATGTGTTTAGTCAATGTTAATTTATTTAAAATGCTTCTACTTTTTGTTGTTTTTCAGGTCTGTTGCCACAGTTATTGGGAGTCGCCCCAGAGAAGGCCATAAAACTTACAGTAAGTCTTTTGATTTGATGCTTCTGATGAAGGTAGTTTGCACATATTCAGGAATCTAGCAGAGATTCTTACGTGAAATAGCATGTCTGTTTCCTCAGAGGCGCTAACTGATTTGAACGTAGGGCAGTCCCGACACAGAGCTTTTTATTATTCCCCGAGGTAACACTGAACATCCGAAAATGTGATAATGTATTTGAGCAAGACTTTGGTGGTTGTCACCATCATCAGCATCGTAGCAGGGGCAGCGGCAGCAGCTGCGTCTCCTTCAGTGCTGACTGTGCTGGCTGATTCCGCGTTTTACCTGTGGCTGCTTTCATCCCCAGCACGCTGAGTACAGTTTTCAGATATGCAGAGTGAGGCCCATGGGGGTGAAGTGTTTGCCTGCGTTTGCACAGTTCATCTGTGGGAAAGCTAGAATCCAAAAGCAGCTTTTCTCTGATTCCAAAACGTATCCCTCAAGTACACAAGTACTCAAGTAGAGAATTTGTTCGAGGTGTATTGCGTAACATTTGCCAGAGCAACAGGTTGAGGAGTCCGAGTGCTGGTTGAAGTTGGTGCTCCATCAGATTGGTTCTCCAGTGCCTGACTCTTATGTGACAGGTGGTAAGTAGTTAGTACCGATTTCTGGAATGGGTCAGTGATCACGTTTTCATCACTAAGGTCATAAAGCCCCAGAGAGTTAAACCTTCCCTCTGGATTGGGCTGTGTAGTGTTGGTGCTGAAATTGTCCTTTTATCATTTTCTGATGTGAGACTGTGGAACAGTTAATCTTCTGATTGATCCTTAAAATTGCTTGTAGTATACACCATTTTGAGAACATTGTACTTAATTAATTAATGCACTTGATGTTCTTTGAGAATCCTTGAGAAATTTCTTAGATGCTGAATTTCTACCACGCTGAAAGATCTGCTCAGCTAAATGTGTTTCAGTGATGAAGCAGTTTGAGATTAAATCCTGTTAGAAGACTTGAAAGTGATTTTTAATCAAATCTTCTAAAGTTTTTAAGTTATAAAATGTATGTTTTAATTGTGTCTCTGTTGTTAATATGTCTCTCTTTCTAGGCTACGGTAATTGCAGACATATATGAATTAGGCTTGTTAAACCACCTCTCTTAATTTCTTTCTCCCCCAAACATCAGGAATGCACATCTATATATTCTAGCTTTCAAAAACGACATATATGAGATCAAGAGCAAAGTCTTAAGATTGTTCTTTTATTCAGTTTATGATTACTCCAAAACACTGAAAGAAAAATAACATTTATGTACAGCTGTATATGTGTGTTTGATGACTGTCTCTATATTTTTTATCAGCTTCTCTAAATATTTTTCTTCAAGGTGAATGATTTTGTGAGGGATAAATTTATGTGCAAAGATGGCTCAGTCCCACTGGCAGCAGAAATTCTCGCCGGAGGCTGTGTAAGTACCTTTTGCGGATCTCAACACTGAAAAGACCTGTTTCGTATACACAGCCCTACCGTGCTACCCAAGTGTGGACTCAGGCTTCTGTTCCCCACAGATCCTGCTCACGGGCCCTGTCTACTAGGGCACCCTGGCGTTTCCTAGACAGGCGGCCGTTCCTGAGGTGGAAGGGGTAAACGTCTCTGTCTTACTGCCTGTTGAGTCGTGCCTGTTAGATCCGCCATTGCTTGCAGCTGGTTCTGCGATAGAAGTCGTCTGTGGCAGAAGTGTTTGGCCTGGAGCACATCTTTGCTGACCTTTCCTGGAGTTTTATTTTTCGCGCAGTCTTTCCTCACGCCACCCTCTGCTGGGTCAGGCACTGGAATTTGTAGTTTGCAGCCATAGCCCTCTGCTTTGCTTTACTTCACACACGCCAGCAGGTCTTCAAGGCTCTCCGTGCTTCCGGGGGAAGGAGGTGGGGGGTGATGGGCAGAGCGCACTCTGCATTGTCAGAAACACTTGGAATGACTGTTTCTTTATGTGGACGAACGACCTGCGTCTTGTTCCCGAGCTCGGCAAAACATCGAGTCTTGTTTTAGTTCACGTACGGGTTTGTTCATGTGAATGTAAATACCTTAAGTAAGTTAAACTCTTCTACAAAGACGGGTGCTATTTAAAGATAAGGTTGGTTAAGTAAACGGTCTTTGATCACTGGGGCAATAAATATGGGTATATTTTCCATCTGAACCTGTGTTTCTTGTACAAAAGATGAGATCACTTTTTTTTTTTAATTCGCTTGTTCTGTGCAGGAATTGGTGATCATAAAATGATCTTTTCTTGAGAAGTCATTGAGTTTAGAAGTTGGGAAAACACCTGAGAATATTAAACCTTTGTCTAGAGAGGGCTTATTGTCCTAACATTGAATGGGGTTCCCTGAGTGTAGCAGGAGTAACAGAGTCCTAGCCTCTGGTGATTCTTAAGAGGTGGACGGAATTTGGCTCTGGCCTGACTCTTTCTGTTTGATCACTGACCTGTCAGAGACGGCCAGGTAAGATCCCCTTGTCCTGTAACTTTAGGAGCATTGAGGATGGAAAAAGGCAGCCTTTAATGTCCTAAGTGAAAAGGACACACAATAATAATCAAAAAGAATATGAGGAGTTGCAGAAATGGCTTTTGCCAGTAAGTATTCCTTTAAAACAATGGTAGCTTCCAGTTGAATAACTGGATTTTCTAATTTTCAATAGGCATGACCATGGGCTATATTTAGTCTGTCTTCAAGGCTGTTACCAGGGGCCCAAGAGAACGGGCCATTTCAGTAGGTCAGGTAGGTTTGTTATTTTTTTTTTAAGTCAGGTTTTAAGCTTGCTGAAACGACATGATTATATATCTCTGTAAGAATTTAAAGTGGAAAACTAACTATGTGATACTACTCAAGATTTTTGGCAATAATCTTGAGCTTTATTTTCTTTTTATGAAAGCATTTTGCCCACACACAGGCCTGGGTGCCAAGGAGATTGGTCGTGGCACGTATTGTCTGCCGTAGGTGGTCTTGTTTTTTCGTTTGTGGTCGCCCATTTCAAATACAAAGCACCGATTGGCATCAGACGTGGTGCCTAGTTATTGTAAAGTGGTGCAGCCCCTTTTCAAACCTGATCTAAACACAGGCTTAAAGTTGGAGCCACTGGGGCTTTATAGCTACTTAAAATATCTGCGAAATGAGGCTTGCCATCCTTCATCTCAAAGGTTGGGGAGACAGTGGTCCTCCGTGTTTCAAGTCTCCTGTTTTGATTTCTCCTACCCCTCCTTACCCCACGCCATTGCTTTAAGAAGTAAGAGTTTATTTTTCAGGTAAGCAGTCCTGTAGGTGGCAAACAACCTAGGTCCTTTAGATCTCTGAGGAGTGGGTGGCTGGTTCCATTCAACGTGTGTTTTGGAAGTAGTACCCACATCTTTCTCTGCAGGCTCTGGTGACTGTGTCCCCATGCTCAGGGCCTGTCACATGCCCCCTTAGAGGGTCCTTCTGAGAGTGCTTCTGCCTTGCTGGCCAGCCTGGACAACAAAGAGTTTAAAAGATGATGTCGCATGGGCGGTTCCCCTTAGTTCACCCACGCATCGCCCAGCCCCAGGAGCTCACCTGGCTTTATTATTACAGAGGATTAGCATACATGGCTGGCTTTTGCATTTATAACCCCAAATTCTGGTTTCTTTGAAGATGGTTTTTTGTGTGTGTGTTTGGTTTAAAATCTGTTTTGTACAAAAACACGCGTAAGATGCAAGGGGGTCCTTGTCTCCTAACCTTAACTGTCTCCTAGCTAAACTAAGACTTGTTTTATAAGATATGTATTAGGAAGACAACAAAAATGATAGTAAATTTGAAGGAAAAGGTTGGAGGAGAAAGAATAAAATGGATCTCATTTGTTAATTTTTAAGATAATTAAATCTGTGACTGAGAGATTAAAAAAAAAAACCCAAACTCTTCTGTTTCATTGATGTACACAAAATGATGAATCTAGCCTTAAATTCACTTACCACACTAGTTGTGCTGTGTGCTATGCTCAGGCGTGTCCTACTCTTTGTGACTGTTTGGATTGTAACCCACCAGGCTCCTCTGTCCATAGGATTTCCCAGGCAAGAATACTGGAGTGGGTTGCCATTTCCTACCCCAGGAGATCTTCCTTACCTAGGGATCAAACTCCAGTCTCCTGCACTAGAGGTGGATTCTTTAATGCTGTGTCCCCTCATCCCCGCATTAGTTTAGAGCACTGTTAAAAGTTTGACTTCAGTTTTCTGAGTATTTTTGTAGATTGACACTTACTGGTAGTGATATAATCAGTACACTAGATGCTGAGACTGGGGTTTACAAACTCTTAGTCTGAAAGGGGCCTTTTGGTTTATGCTTGCTGTGTTTAAGCTGGTTTTCTGCTTTCTAAGTTAGACTAAGAGGTGTAGGAGTTTTAACAGAGACCTGGAGCCTGCAAAAGGTATATATACTGTCTGTTTCTTCCAGCCTTTCTTTCCTTCCTGGGTTGGGAGCTCAGTCCAGGAGGGAGACCGCTCTGGGGTGGTCACGGTCAGCAAAGGTGGAGGCTCTCAGGATATGGGGCAGAGGACAGAGGACCTGTCGCCACTACCCATCTCCAGTTAGGTTCCCAGTGACTTTACACCCGACATGTCATCTCTGAGTATGTTGTTGTGATTGCAGTGTTGCTGCTACTTTAAGAAAAAATACCGTATATGGTGCCATGTGGTCTGTAGGTTATAGTCCTCAATTCAAGCAAGTCTTCTGTGCCTATTCTAGTGAAATAGAGACTTGAAATCCTGAAGGCACTGGGGTCTTTGGTTTTTGATCTTCTGTTCTTAAGGTTGTCTGAAAAGGAGACACAAATGTTTCCATCATGGCACCATTAGATTAGCCGTCTAATCTATTTGGCATGAAAATCCACATTGAAATGAAAAGAAATTATATTCACTGGGAAAAAATGTCAAAAAAGGATAAACCTCCATTCTATAAAGCTTGTATTTAGTAAAAATTATCTGCTTACCAATAAAAATTAATAGTATTCTATAGTAATTTTTGGAAGGACAAGCAAATATGCTTCTTGAACAGTAATCCTGTCATAATGGGCTTCCCTGGTGCCTCAGTGGTAAAGAATCTGCCTGCCATTGTAGGAGATGCAGGCAACATCAGTTTAACCCCTGAGTTGGGAAGATCCCCTGAAGGAAGAAATGGCAACGTGCTCCAGTATTCTTGCCTGGAAAATCCCATAGACAGAGGAGTCTGGCAGGCTACAGTCCATGGGGTCACAAAGAGTTAAATGCTACCGAGCACAATTGGTCCACAGTATATTTCTTTCTTTTTAAAATTTTATTTTCTATTGAAGTGCAGTTGATTAACAGTGTTATGTTAGTTTTAGGTATATAGCAAAGTAATTCAGTTATATATATATGTGTATGTATCCTTTTTATAATTCTTTTCCAATTTAGGTTATTACAGACTATGGAGCAGAATTCCCTGTTCAGTACAGTAGGTCCTGTTGGTTATGTATTTTTAAAAGAGCAGTGTGTTCATGTTGATCTCAAAATCATACTCTGTCCCCCGCCGCACCGTTGCTCTAAGTTTGTTCTCTAAGTCCATGAGTCTGTTTCTGTTTTCGCGCATGCATGCATGCTAAATCGCTTAGTCGAGTCTGCTCTCCACAACCCCACGGACTGTAGCCCGCCAGGTTCCTCTGTCCATGGAACCCTCCAGGCAAGAATACTGGAGTGGGTTGCCATTTCCTCCTCTATTTTCTGATTTGTAATAAGTTTCTTTGTATCAGTTTTTTAAAAAGATTCTGTTATGTAAGTGGTATCGTATGGTATTTGTCTATATGTGACTTAACTTCACTTAGAATGATAATCTCTAGGTCTGTCTTGTTGCTGCAAATGGCATTGTTTCACTCTTTTTTATGGCTGAGTAGTATTCCATTGTACACGTGTACCACATCTTCTGTCGATGGACATTTAGGTTGCTTCCATGTCTTGGCTATTGTGAATAGTGCTTCAGTGAATATCGTGGTGCATGTATTCTTTTGAACCATGTTTTTCTCTGGATATATGCACAGAGTAGGATTGTTAGGTCATATGTTAGGTCTATTTTTAGCTTTTTAAGGAACTTCCATGCTGTTCTCCATGGTGGCTGTACCAATTTGCATTCCTACCAACCTTGTAGGAGGGTTCCCTTTCTCCATGTCCTATCCAGCATTTATTATTTGTAGATATTTTTTTGGTGATGGCCATTCTGACTGATATGAGGTGGTATCTCGTAGTTTTGATTTGCATTTCTCTTATAATTAGCAATGTTGAGCATCTGTTCATGTGCCTGTTGATCATCTGCATGTTTTCTTTGGAGAAATATCTATTTAGGTCTTCTGCCCATCTTTTGATTGGATTGTTTGGCTTTTTTTGATATTGAGACACATGAGCAGTTTGTAAATTTTGGAGATTAATCCCTCATTGGTCACATCAGTTGCAAATAT